TATTTAATAGGAGTCTTGGCAAGTGGAGTATATAAAACAAGGTGTGTAACAATGATTACCATAAAATTCTAAGTGAGAAAAAGGGGACCCTTAATAATAAGGGCAGTGAGAAAATGATAAATCATTGGAAGGAGCTGAGTCTGGTGGGGTCAAATAAAATACTTTTTTGGGAAATTGAAGGGGCTATTGCAAAGTAGATTAGGAAGCTTGATATTAAGATTGTAGTGTGCTGAAATCACAGAACATACCATTATGTTATTCCATATTTATAATTTATTAGCAGGAACATGATCATATTCATATTTTTATCATTGTGTGGTCTTCTATATCATCTAGTGCAGTTGCTCTGGAGATCCCCTGACACCAGGGAACATAGAAATTTCCTCAATGCATTTTTTATTCTAATGACAAAGCGTATGCTGGAGCTAGTGGAACCCTGTGGTAGAAGCCAGATTTGCTCACAAGTATCCCACAATGAATAAGACAAACCTCGCAATAAACCTCCTACCTGAAATGCCAGTAGAGCCAAGGTTGACAAATCTTAGTTTAGCATGTAGTATGTACTCCAGAAATGTATCCAGAATTATTTGTAATTGTATGTAAAGTAAGAGTGATTGAGATCTGATGAAAATGTCTCCTGTGCGTCACTATCTCAGGCTTTAGGCTTCCATGATGCCCACTTAGAAAACACATTTGCTTTTCTAGGATTCTTGATTACTTTTTTTCCCCACAATATATTTTATCATTTATTTATTTATTTATTTATTTATTTATTTATTTATGTGGTGCTGAGGATTGAACCCAGTGCTTCACGCATGCGAGACAAGTGCTCTACCACTGAGCTACAACCCCACCCCAGGATTCTTGATTATTTTTAGGAATCAATTTTCATAGTTACACTTCTAATAGGATGCCATTTACTCTATTTACATAATATCATGGAAATGATTAATATAATTCATTTCTGTAAGGGTTACTAAGCTATCTATCCCTCTCCATATAATAATTTGTCATTTTATTATATGTTATACTATATATAAATTTTGTGCATCACATAGATCAATACAATTTGCTTATTTTATTTTATTTCATTACCTCTGTAGTTTGGTGAAGCTAATAAACCGTTCCTTGGATATTATTCAAGAGATAGAGGTTTCTATTATCACTATGTCTGTGGCTGTATTGGGGATTGAACTCAAGGCTTTGCTCAGACTTGGTAAGTGCTCTACCACTGAGCCACATCCTCAGTGTACCAGCACCATCTCTAAATAGCTATAGTGTCTTGGGCAAATAATGTAAATTTTCAGGTCTAAATTCTACCCCCTTTTCTACAATATCTGTTGAACAACATATGGATGCTAACCAGCATCTCTTCTGGATTTAGTTTTCTGAATATTTTTGTTGCCTTTATATTACTCCTTACCTTGTTTTCTTATCAGTTCTCTTCCTAATATTATTTATGCAGCTTCAACTATTACCTTTATGTTTGACTCAAATCTCATGAATGTATATATCAGATCTATCACTCAATATTGGAAAGAGATTCAGCTGAACAAATTATACTGATGACAAATAGTTCTAGGATATCTTTGCATTGATTATATCTTGCTTCTCATCTGGGCAGTCATAGAATTTCATTCTGTGCAATTCTTATTTTACACTCCTGGAAATGGTAACTCTTATTAAAGTTTTGAAAGCTGGGCTTGTTACACATGGCACTTAGCCCCTTACCTACCATTGTGTTTTGAGGCTTACTTGGTTCCTGGCACTTGGTTATATCATAAGTCTCTGGCACTTCAATTCTTCCCTGGGCATGTTTCTTAGTCTAGTGTTTTTTTAGTGCTTTCCTTGATCATAGTTTTGCCTAATTTTCTGTCCTAATCCTATCTGTAAGGATCCTGATGAATGTAATTCAAAATTGGTAAGAGTCCCAAGGAAATGGTGTATTTATTGCACAATATGTCAGCATTCTGCTGTGAAATGAAAAGGAAATGTTTGCTTTTGTTCATTTTCTTAGAAATCCTACTTTTTTGCTTGTGGCTCTGGCAACCTAGAGCTAAAGCAACTGACTTAGGACATTGGAGCCATTCCATTATTTCTTTTCCTGGCTTCCTCCTGGCTTCCACCTGGCTAAGGATGAATATTCTCCTAGAAAGCATATCAGATGAGCAGAGTTACAGTCTGATGTAGTTGTAGTTGCCTGTTTCTCACATCCAAGGCTCCCATCTATCCTTACTTGTAGTGCAGAATTCTCTTCCTCCATGGGTCAGACTCTTCATCAGGCATTGAGATTCAGCTCAGGACTTGTGGCTTTGTGGAGACTTTCTTCTCTTCCCCTTTCCATCACCTAACATGAGCTAGCTATTTCCCTTCTGCCCATTTACCTTATCATAGATTTATTAAAATATATATTACTTTTCCCAACAAGGAGGTTCTCCTAACTGTTTTCCCATCAAAGTTTTGTTTGACCTCCTTGACTTTCCTTAATTGCTGCATCCTGGGCAACTAGGAAATGCCTGACAAAGCACAGACAACTTTCATGCTCACCTATTTTCAACAGTTTTCACACTTGGTGTCTCTAGGATCTATTCATTGTCAAGAAATTATTTTATTTATAAATTCAAAATTTCTATGTAATAAATAGCTTCAATCTTGTACCTCTTGTAACCATTCATTCTCAATAGGCCTACTCTTTGCTTAAAAAAAGTAACAATCTCTGGTTATTCATATTTTTTTTTAGTATTCAGGTATGTTACTAAATCATCTTGTCATACATCTACTTGGGTAATAACAAAACTGGTATCTAGTTTCATATAGTTCATAACTGGTGCTTTTGAATCTTTCAATTTATTTTATTTTTATATTCACCAAAATGTAAAAATAGTAGTATTTTAATTGTACATATTTAAGGCATACAACACACACATATGCAGTGAAATACACATTGATACACACAGGCATACATGGTGAAATGATAGCTAAAGTCAAACCAATTAACATGAAAATTATCTTACACAGTCATCATGTTTCCCCTTGAGGTAAGGGGACCTAAATTCTATTCTCAGAAACTTTCCATGATACAGTAATATATAATTGACTGTAGTCTTCATGCTGTACATTAGATCTCTAGACCTACTCATTCATAAAATTGCGACTTTGTATCTCCACATCTTTCCCCCAACTAAACCTTGATAACCATTATTCTACTCCGTTTTTTATATATTCAGCCTTTTTTAGATTGTACACATAACCTGCTGCACATCTTGAATCATTGCCACTTTTGACGCCACTTGCTTCTTCTAGCAATGCAAAGGATCAAGGAGAAGAGAGTAAGAGACTGACTTTGTACTCTCTTGTTGATATTCTATTTTCTCCTGTGCATACTTGAATTTTATTCTTAGATGATTTCTTTTCTTAATTTTTTTCCCTAGGGAGATTTATTTACTCCCTTGAGGTAAAATAATTTCCTCAGTTATACTTTTGACTTCTCCCTTGAATATAAAATTTAATTTACAATACCTCAGCTTGGATAACTCAAACTGATCACATACAAGATTAATTTAGTATCCTCATTACAATTTTACATTTTCATAACTTGTTTTATGACATGGTTAACTTTTTAATCATCCTCACATAACTGTCATAGTTAATTCATTAATTTTTCTACGTTTTCAAATTCCTTCTATTTTCTGTTTGCCTTTCTGTTGTGCAAGATGTCCAGCACCATCTCCCTAACTGAGGGCATCCAAATGCCTATACTCTACTACTATAATAACATCATACAATATCACCTTTGATGATGGACACAAAGCCATAAAATACAAAACATTACATAATCCTTTTTTTATTTCGAATGTCTAATACTTTTCTGTATCTGGTGAATTTTGTCACCCTACATACTTGAAATTCACAGGTATTCAATTTATAACTGCATCAATTATCTGCAATAATAAGTTGTACTCTACATCTTCTATGTAACCTTACAGTTTTTACATTGCTTCAAGTGTATCTATTTCCTTTAATCAAAGTACTGAATTGTCATTCAATCACATCTCAAAATGAGACTTGTAATTTAAGTTATAACTAAAGTAGCAGCTCTTTAAGGACAAACTCCTGCTTACATGTAACACAGATACTCTGTTTCTCTACTAGCCATAATTAAGTTTTGCACATTGAAGCCAAAATTCTACATTGACAGCTAACTTTAATAACAAAATTTCAGAAAGTAAAACATGATTTATGGGACTTAGACACATCAGCATGTTAATAGTATCTTGTTTATTAACAAAAAATATGATTTTGAGAATGTTACTTAAACTTTTGCTGTTAAGTAAAAAAGAGCTAACTTATGCTGTTTTGGGAAAGATACAAATATTGACCTACAAAATACTTAGGACGCAGTATAGGGTTAAGACTGAGGAAAGCTAGCCATGATTATTATTTTAATTATTAAATCCAAAATAGAAAATATAATCAATATTTTTCAGATGAATTGATCTCATGAAATTTTGCAAAATTTCTATGACAGTTTTACTGAGGATTTTGTGTATACCATCCATCCATATTTCTTCTCTGATTTGTTTACTACAGAGGAAGGTATATTTTTTCCTTTTGTTAAAAAGTATTGGCTTGAATTGTATTATATATTTTTTCCTAAGTCAAGTGTCCCTGGGTGCTAAACAGTTTTCCCCACCTGACTAAGCTCTCACCATAGACTTGTTAGTTACTTCACAGCAGTACAAAGCACTAACTGCTCAAGTTAACATGAAATTGTGGTCTTTGTGAAGCCCTGTGTATCTATGTTGTTCATGTAAAACTGCCCCATGACTGTGATCTTAAGTCCCTATTAGACCCTAAGACATCTAATGATGCCCACAGTAACTTGGGGTCTATGGCAGAGTATCACTGTGCTCCACTCATTGAGTGAGCAATTGCATTTCCTGGACAAGTTTCCTTTATCAGCTTGTGAATTATTCCTTTGTTACAATGCTCCCCAGAAATTCTGGGGACAGACACTGAACAGAAATCACTTTCTAATCATGCAAACTTCTTAGAATTGAAGCTCAATGTTGAATTCATTTCAAACCACAAAATTAGCATGTCATCAAATTCAGTATATATAGAGCTACAAAAGAAGATAGACCATCATCTACCCAGCTTCACCTTCACTTCCTATCCTCCACTTTGGAAAAAGGTAAGAAATTCAGTTTGAGTATACCCTCTTTATTATTTATTGCACACTAGGTTGTTCTTTGGAAAGAAAGTAATTGATTAAAGTACAGTTTTGGAAATAAAGGTATTTAAGGTAGTGCTGAAGCTATTTTTAACATTTATTTTACAAATGATGAAATGCTTAGAAAGACTATAATGGATCTGTAGGTTTCATGAGTCCAAGAAAATGTAATTCACACTAAGTGGATACATACTTTATGTATACATGTATATATACACACATGTATACACACTAAAGATAACATATATCTTTAGTATAAGGATAGTTAATATTATTAAGAGCTGATTAATGACTAGTTCCCTAATTAATTCTTCCAATTTGATTCAACATATCACAGCTGTAAAAACAAATATATTTAAATATATTATGAGGCAATGAATATTTATTGGGAAAGCTCTTGTCTAATAGTTTATAGAGTTAGCATATTGAGTCAAGAAATGAAGGTAGTAGTTTGGGAACATGTAATACTTTAAATATTAATAAACATCATTATAGAAGAAGAGCATAGTCATCAAACTTGTCCAGTACCTTCAACTTCGCAGTTTATCATCTAGCCTACCATATTTCGAAACAATATTAAAATAGTAACATTAAAATTAGTACACTAAAAAGAAAATGTCCTACTGTGTAAGAAAATGAATGAAAGAAAGTTAGCTTATATAATTTCAGTGAATAATAGAATTCTGACTTAAAAACCTGGCATACAAATGTTGAGAATAAAATATATAAATGCAATGCGATACACTCTTCATATTGTAATCTATAATGGTATTACATACTTTTTTGAACTCTGACAATTAAAATTATTTTGAAATTTTTTGAGACTTTAGGCAAGGTAAAATTAATTGAGAATTATATAACATCTGTTAGAAAAATCTAAAAATATATTTTTTCACTGGCAGAATTATTTTCAGTTTTCAAATATTGGAGAGAATGTTTTTGAGAAAATTAGAAACATTCTTTTCATGAACTGTTTTTAGTTAAAACATTTAGTTTGAAAATCTGAAAATAAAAAACTGTCAAATGATATTATGACATAAAAATTATTTTTTGGAATTCGTTATATGAAATACAAGAAAATCAAGCACAACGGCCATTTAGTATATTTAATAAATAATGTTAAGATTTATTTCATAAGAAGAGGTAGTGTTGGCATTGGGAGTGGGCAACAGAATTTGACCTTTGGATCAATCATCAATATATCAATGAGCACATTTTATACAGAAAAGATGTAAAATAATGCATTATCTCCAATGTCCTGGGACGCACAGGAGAAGATATATTAGATATGTAAGGATCAAGACTGCATATTGAGTATGAATGAAGAAGAAACAAATATATTTGTCCAAAAAAGCATCAACCTGGAGAGTATAACAAAACAAACAAACAAATAAACAAACAAAACTTGCTACAATGAAAACAACAGTCTTATTGGACCTGAGAAGGTGTGATTAAACTAAATGTTAATGGCATCTATTCAGTAGAAGAAAAATAAAAATAAAAATTATTCAGAAGTAAAACTGAGTACTCTGCAGTCGAATTGAGACTCTATCAGGGTTGTGATTTGCTCTATACCCAGTAACTAGACAGTGTCTGGCAATCAAAGTGCTAAGTAAATATTTCATAGAAAATGAACAAATAAATCTTTCTGTAATTTTTTATATTTTTTTACATTTAAAAACCAAAAATATAACACTCTGAGTGAACTTAAATATAAAAAGACTGGAGATCCATGAGCTGAAAATCTGAATAGATTGAATTTAATATTTAGGAGTAGAAAGCCAGAGTAGATTTTTTACTAGTTACATGATAGAACTTCTAATAGTATTTTTCCTTAAAATGAAAGAATGTTATTATATTATTTTTTAAAGGAAAAGTAACTCTATCTAAATAACAAAATATGTCTGACTGAATAATTTATCACCATCTCTCATTTCCCCATTCACAGGACGTGGTAGCCATGAAGGTCCTTGTCCTTGCCTGCCTTGTGGCTCTTGCTCTTGCAAGGGAGGTATGTACAGAGAAAATTCCTAAAAAATTAAGATATAGAGGTTGATCTTCCTAATGTAGAAAATATTATTACCAATAATGTTAGCATACAAATAATGGAATTTTCAGCTTTTTTGTTTTGGTGTCTATGAAAATCATTTACTTTTACCTACTTTTTCAATTTTTCTATGGGGTCTCAAACCTGGGACAAATGCTTTCTACTCCAATGTCCCCCTGTAGCTAAAGGAAAAGCAAACAAATACTTAGTAACAAAACAAGACAAAAAGAAAGAAAGAAAGAAAGAAAGAAAGAAAAACAACAAATAACTATGTAGTATTACACAATTTTATGCATGAATAAATTATATAAATGTATCTTATTAATAACTGTTCACACATATGTGTCTCTTGCTGTAGAGAAGTGGGCCAAATTCTATGTGTATTTATACAAAGACAACCAGGGGACAGAATATAGGCAATAATCATAATCATAATCATAAGTATACTCACAATCATAACAAAAATATTTAATAGAAATTAAAATAATTACATTTCTGTTATTCATCCCAAGTCTATTCTTAATTCAGGTGACAGAGAAATATACCAATTTACATTTACTAAATATGAAACATAATGAAAATTACGCTTTTAATGTCTGTACAAAGACATGCAACTTTTTAAAAAGCTTTTTCCAACTTTTTAAAAGAGTGCTATATAAAGTGCATAAAAAGTGTAAATGTGTAATAATGAATTAGCTACAGACACTAAAATGGACTTATTACTTTTCTTTATAGAACGAAGAACTTGTTGTGTCCACTGAGGTAAGTATTTTTAAAAACATTTTTTTCCTTCCATAAAATAATAACATTTTCTGATGATCTAGTAGATTTAATGCTGATTTTTTCTTTTTCTTTTTCTTTTTCTTTACAGACTTCAAGCAGTGAGGTAAGAATGATTTTTAGAGGCAATTTCCAATTGTAAAACTATAAAATCCTGTGCCTTGTATTGTGTTATATCACAGTAATTATGCTAATGTAGTCACATATGACATGCAAATTCTGATGTATGTTAAAAGACAGAATAAATGCCTGGAAAATTTAGTACTCTAGAACTTTCTAAGTGGGCTTCCTAATTGAAATTGTGTCACTGCCTCCCCATCCCATTTCCTATGGATCATACAGGTCTGTTGTCTGTCTTGAGCTTTCTCTACTCTGACCTCATTCACTTTTACAATTGATTGAGTGATTTCTGTGCATCAGACACTGATTAGGAGCTATGATACAAACTAAAGATTAGGATGTCAATGAAACCAAGACCTTGCAGTGTAGTGGGTAAGCAAACATGTTTAGGACACATTTTTTTTTCTTAGAGTTGTCACTTTGATAAATAAAAGCCAGTGGGATTTGGTGAGAGCTTAATCTACTCAAGAGAGTCAGGTGGACATTTGTCCTTGCACCACTCTTGAAAATGTTGTCATCTGTTTAGTAAGTGGTGTTGACAATTTATATTGTCTCTTCACAAAGTCTTGAGAATTTTAGGGGGTGTATTGATTTCTTATAGTTTATTTGAAATTGAACACATTAACAAGTGAATTAATAATGACTAGTATAATGCACCAAGTGCTGTTATGCTGTGTTTTCAATTAGTTTTATCCCTCTTAGAATCAGATGGTGTTTTAGATATCATTTGTTATCAGTAAAAGGACCATGATTGTACAGAGAAATTAGCTTCCATTAGAAGCTTATTTTATACAGTGTTCATCAATTGTTTTTCTCTCTTGACTACATTCATCTGACTTTTTTATATGACAGGCTTTTTTTTTTTAATATGAGAGGCTTTATAGAATGGTCTAAATATAAAAGTTGCAGTCATTATCCTAACTTAAGGACATTAGCAAGTAAAAGTGTCTCTATTAACCTATTGAAGCCTTTACTTTCTGATATATATTGAAAACTAAGAATTATTAATCAAAACTAAATCTGATTTTAATTTTTTTATTTTTCTAAAGGAATCTATTACACATATCAAGGTAAAATCTACATATATAATTGTACTTATTTTCATGATTTCCTGTTAGAATTTCATAGATAATAGCATTTTAAATGCATGATTTGTTTTTAGGAGAAGCTTGAGAAGGTTAAGCATGAGGAACAGATGGAAAGACAGGTAAATTTTCATGAAGACTATGTTTCCAATATTATTATAAAACATAATCCATGAAAATATTCATAATGTATATGTTAAATTTAAAGAATTGCAAAGTAAATGCCATGTACCTATCAATCAATATAAGAAATTAAAAAATGGCAAAGTTAAATATATTTTCCAAGTCCTCAATGTACTTTTTAAATGCATAATCAATTTCTAGAATAGAGATTAACTATCTAATGATATTACTAATGGTATATCTGTTTAAACAAATTCAAATTAGTACAAACACCTCCAAACTGGGAACTATGTTCCTTTCTTAATCTGAAGATGTTATGATGATGAAAGAAAATAAAGGTGACAAGGTGTAAGTCTGTTTCTCAGACATAACCTTGGCCACAAGTTTCTTTGTATTTCATTTTCTTCATGTGTAGATGGAGAATATTCTTAAGAATATCTACCCTGATGTATTGACGAGCTGATTAGCCATGAATATTCAATGATTTGACATTAAGATTTTGTCAATTGTACTAAAATATTTATTGGCTGCATGATTACATTCTTAAGGGTATTTCCATTACAAATAAGAGAAGTGAGGTACAGAAGAATTAAGTGCACACTATGTGAATACATTATCCAGTTAATTAAGTAGCAGAGCTTGCTTAAAAATTAAGAATATTTGGAATAACAAAATTCTATAATTCATACACTTATCTAACTGCAATATTTTCACTTCCTGTTTTATTATTAGAAGGTTTGGTTATCACACGAAATATTTTCTAAAACCAATTAAAATTTAAAAATAAATACACAAGTTGTCCCTCTAAGTGTTTTAAAATTGATGTCTCTTCATTATATGAAAATAATTTGGTGTGTTGCTAGCATATTTAGGTTGAAAAGTCAGTGCTCTATAAAGACCATAGCATATAAATTACAACTATCCTGATAACTAAGGAAAGGTCAAAAAAATCCAAGAAAATTCCTAAACATTGATTTCAGTTTGGACCACAGATCCACCAAAAAATTGAGGAGTTTAAGAAGAAATTTCTTAAGGAACATTTTACTCATTTTTCTTCACATGAGCCAAAATGATTTCTTAAGTGACATAAGTGAAATCTTTCTTTTATTGTCTTCACTCAATTGTAGTTTTCCCATAGATTAATTGATTGTAAATGACAGTTATGGTTAAATCATGGACTGAAAGATTCTTCTTCTTTTTTTTCAGGATAAAAGCCAAGAAAAAATCCACCCCATTGCCCAGCCACAACTTCCTTATGCTCAGCTCATGCCTTACACCCTCCTTCCCCAGAACGTCCTGACTCTCTCTCAGCTGCCTATGATGCTGTCTCTCCTTCAGCCTGAGATAGCGGAAATCCCCAAAACTAAAGAGACCATTCTTTCTAAGCTTAAGCTCATGCCCCTCCTGAAATCACCAACAGAGCTAACCCCATTTGTCCCTCAAATCCCACATCTCACTGACCTCCAAAACCAGCACCTCCTTCTGCCTCAGCTTCAGCCTGTGGTGCCCCAGATCCCCCAGATCCCCCAGATCCCCCAGGTCCCCCAGATCCCCCAGGTTCCTCAGGCTTTTCCTCAGATTCCCATAGTTCTTCCTCAGCCCCAGGCGCCTATCCCTCAATCCAAAATCACACCTGTTCCCCAGCAAGTAGTGCCCTTTCCCCAGAGAGACATGCCTGTCCAAGCCTTTCTGGAATACCAAGATCTTCTGTTCCAGCCTACTCACCCACTCTACCCTGTGACTAACCCACTTGTCCCAGTTTCCAACCCTGTTACTGTAAGTCCATACTTACTTACTTTGCCATTTCTCTCCTGATGTATATATGATGGTAGAATAAGTTGAGGGAAGTTCTAGAATATGCACTTCTAGAGAATGAAAGAACAAAGATATAAAGTTATAATTTAGATCAGTGATTCTCTACAATAGAATCACCTAGAGCCACCCTCCCACAATTCCAATGCCTAGGCATACCCACATAGATTCTGCTTAAGTTGTTCTGATTGTCTAAGTAGAGTAAACTGTGTTGGAAAGAAACGATTGCAGGGATTCTGGATTAGTTGTTCTCTTAAGAGTTTCGATTTCATTTTTTTTTTCTTTTTTGGCAGTTCTAGGGAATGATCCTCAGAGGCACTATAGCACTGAGATGCATCCATAGACTTTCCATTTATTTATTTTTCTTTTGAGACAAGTTCTTGCTAACTTACTGAGGCTGGTCTCAAACTTGCTCTTCCTCTACATCAGCCTCCCAGGTCACTGGAAGTGAAGGCATGTTTTACCACATGCAAATAAGAATTCTGATTTAAAGAGTGTTAAGACTTATCAAAATAAAAATTAAAATTGATAATTTGATTGAGCTTGTCAAAAGAAAGCTAATTATTTTCAAGAGTTTTCAATGTTTTCCTCATGAACATGCATTCCCAACATGCCATAGATCATGCCTTATTTTTGCCATCTGTAGATGAGGGGAAAAATTTGAAATGCTTATTTAATTATTTCTTAAGGCAATTGTTTTTGTTGAAAGATAAGTGATATATTTATTTATTTATTATTTGTTTACTTTCAAGGTCTAAGAAGATTTCAAAGTTAGCAGCTCCTCATTTTTTTCGTAAGTTTGAGAAGTTTGGAGATTAGACCAATTCCTTTTATAGTTGATTATTTTTTCTATTTCATTCTCCTACAGATAGTGGAAAATTCCATCAACATGTTAACTTACTTACTAATTATCATTTTGTTGTCAACTGTTTACTATTATCCATTGACCTGAAACATGAAAAATTTCAAGAGAATTTTAATTTTCTTATGTGTTATTGATAGATTTGACTGACTTGTTTTCAAGGGTCTATATCCTGAGATTTGATTTCCATCATTTTTAAGAAAACCATAAAATAGATTTTCTTTCACTTTTATGTAAATTCATTTGAGCTTTTATTAAAGGAAAAATTCCATTGTTATTCCAGGTTAAGTTTCATAAACTTTGTATTTAGTTTACTTAAAACTCTCTGTTTCTTTTAATTCACAAATCAAAATAAAATTATTGGTCTAGGTATGGGTGTTCAAAAGGGGAGAGAAAATTCTGCTTGAGATTCTTAGATACAAAGCCTTTTGTGATCATGATAGGTTAGACATCTTATTAAAACATTCCTAGTGAGCTGATATTTGATGTGATCCGTACTTTGTGTGCCTCCATGGAAAGTTTCAATGAAATGCACAATTTCTTTTTTTTTAATTAGTCACACCAATACAAATGGGGAAAAGTTAACAGCTTTATCATATAACAGGATTAATTCTATATTTGTTCTCTATTCCACAGAATTGACTGAGACTGGAAATAAGACATCTTTTCTTTGAATCATGTTACCAAATATTACATATTTTGGAATGCAACTACCTGGAAAAAATAAAACTGTATTCTTTTTATTTTATGCATTTTATGTCATTGGTTTAGTTTGAATTAGACTCATGAACTCGTTGCAATTTCCAAATTGTAAGTTCAATATTGAATTGGAAATACTCTAAACATGTCAAAAATGTATATAAGAATAGTTTCTGGGATTGGATTTACCAATATTTCTTCAAGATAACATACAATAAATTGTTTCCTTAAATAAATTAATTTGAAACACATTGAATTAAAGTTATTCCTGCTTTTTTGTTTATGTGACCTAATCATCCTAGATCTATGGTTCCTTCTCATATGAATGCCAATTAAATATCTAGTAATTTTCAATGTAACAAAAGATAAACAGAGTTCAGTGACTATATAAATATGTCTGATTTTAAAGAATAAACCTTACTGTAGTCATATTTAAAGTCCCCATTGATTCCTTTCCTTCTTTTCTCCTTCCCTCCATCCTAAACTTTCATTCATTCCTTCCTTCATTCATTTAACCATTGTTATTATAGATCTATGGAATAATGAACAAACACACTAATGCTCCCATGGCATTTCCAAGTAATAAGATCCTCCCAGAGGACAAGTAGTCTCAATAAAATCCTGAAAACTTACATCAAGTATATCTAAGTTGGAATGTAGGCATTGATTCCTTCATTTTCTCCTTCAAATTTTGGAAGGACAGGGATTGCTTATGACAGTGAGAAATGAGAATAGTGTCCTATAAAAACAGAAGTAACCTCTTGTGTTAATGATAATCCCATTCTCAGGGACAGCAGATTATTTTAGAAGACTGATGGATTACAATGTGTTTGACATTTTATAATTAAGTAAAACAGATACCTTATTATCTATAACCAACACTGCGGTCTTTGAAAATGCCATGGTGTTCATTTACAAGGGAAATATCACATTAGATATTTCCAGTGTTATCACATTAGGAAGTCCACTGATATTTGTGCTGGACTTTCCTCCCCTACTCTTTCTTCTGTATTTGTGACAAATATCCATCCTGTTTATTTTTTAACAGGATGCCATATATCTATTTGAATAACTGAAAAGTCTTGCAGCTGACAATATGAAAAAATATGTGACTGTCTATTAGATAACCATAGAATTTCTTTGGCACAGAGCAGGGACAGGCTATATTTCGGACCTTCATAGGCTTATTCTATAAGCCCCTGAAACAAAGTTAAGGCAAGTACAGGAACAGAAATTTATTGTGTGAATTTCAACTGCAGAGAGGAGTGTGCACAATACAAGTCTAGATTTGGAATTTAGCTTATTGAGTTTATTCAAACTTCGACAATAGAATACATAGTACAAAAAAAGATGTGTCAAATCAAAAGAGCAGTAGGCTAAGCAGATGCCCTGTATTTTTAATGTAATATGTGAGAAAAAATAGAGAAGTTCATGACAATCTCAGAGAAGGAAAAGAATAGTAGAGGAGAAGAACATTTCCAGGCAATTTGTATATTGTGGAAGTCAAGGAGACAAAATTTCAAGAAGGAAAAGTTAATTGCCCACAAATAAAGACTTCAGTGAGCTTTGAAATTTCTCAATGTCATCAAACTACAGTTTTCTCATCTGGAAAGCGTTATCATAGTAGTTGGAGTAGGATTAAATGAGAATGTGTATAAGGGATGCTGCAAATAGGAATTGCTTATATATAAACATTAGGCATTATAATTATTTATACCATCATAATCTTCATTGGGAAGAATATATTCTTTTTCTGGGGCTTTGAGCATGCTAAACAAGAACTATTTCCCTGAACTATATCCCCAGTTCCAAGAAGATCTTCATAAAAACAATTCTTTAAAAGTGATGGAGGAAATGAAAAACAAAGTACAGAGCAAAAATGTCTTTGAACAAACAGGAGGGTCACCTTGAATCTTAAAACAGGAGGGAGAGAGTTAGAGATCCAATGAGCCATAGATTCCTTCATAGAAGAGTGAGATTGAATACTTAAAATAGTAGTTCCAAATGGATTCAATTTTATGTCCAAAAGAAGTAAATTGTTTTATTCATTTGACTATTACATGACTAGAGATAAATGTTTCATAAATTTGGTATATTAGGACATCTCTGTGGTTCCTCAGCATGAGTGTAAGGCTATAGGTTGATATACGGAATTGGATGCAGATTTTTTATTTAAATGAGAATAGTTAATATAGTAGATGTAACATATGCCTATTCTTTTCCTACATATACACAAAAGAAAAAGAAGTGTGCCATCACACCCAATGAGAAGAGAAAATTTTTACTTTCAATTTTCATAGAGTCCTGCCATCTCACTCTTGACTTATAATGTACTAATGGTCTCTTAAAACTGCAATGATCTTCAGTAATATTTTTATCCAATCCTGCCTGCATTCCTTCTTTTGTATCTTTTTATTTGGTGTCATTTTTATCCTCCATTTTCTGTGATTGGAAGCAGAATTTGGGGGATATCACAGTGAAATGATACATCAAATGATATGGTAAATAAAAAATGTGCCTGAGTAGATATGCCTGGTGTGCTTCACTCAAAACAAAGCCAGAAAAGAGAAAATAACACCAATTTTAATGAAGCTATGAAACAGAGTACCTACTGCAATAGGTATCTGGTAGCACTGATTTAGATCATAGAGATACAAGGTGGCCACAAAAAGGGGTAGACAAAGGGGGCTCTGACCCTTTTGTCTCCAGGACTACCCTGAACCAAAAAAGACCCCATTCATCAGGGAAAGAGTAATCAGAAAGTCCCTGGCAGTCCCCATTTAAGCCAGAGGCACCTGAGGCAAAGCATTCACTGCTGGAGAGGCCTGTGGTCCTTACAATTCCTTAACCCATCTGGGGAGTGAGCAGGTTACCACCCTGTTGCATTTCCCTGGAGAGAGAGCTCAGCCAGCCTGGATCCTCTTTCCACCTTGCTGAAAGGTACTACACACCTTGGTCTTCCAGGGACTCTTGAAATAGCCAGACAGCTGCCACTAGCAGTTGTGCATATCATATCTTCCTAAATAGCCAAGATATCTTATCTACCCTCTGACCACTCTTCTACTACCCAAGAGACCAACCTCCCTCTAGGTGTTTCCCATGGACTGGGGAAAACACGAGGGATCCAGATCACACTCTGGAGGCCTCCAGATATTATGGGACACCCATCTAATATTCTGTTCCTAGTAATGAATTATCCAACCAGTAATAAGCAAAGGAATTTTTATACCAATTTTCCTAGGAATAGTAAAAACATTTTATTTTTGTCTAATATTATTTAACACATGGCTTCTGATGAGTAACATAAGCCCCTAAGACTCAAAGAATAGATCAAATTCCCAATTATGAATATCAATATCCTGTGAGAGATGTGTAGTACTAAACTCCTGGAGACATTTCACTTTAAATGTGAGAAACATGAGGTGGAAGGATATGAGTTCTCATGGAAATCAACACATACTATTAACTACATACTTTTCCATATGCAGCTTGGAAAAAAGGAATTGAGTAAAATCAAATTAACCTCAATCAAAGTGGATCATACTATTTCATTGTTCAGAATCTATCTTGTTGAAAATTATTATTTATTCAGAGGGAAATTTTTTTTTTTTTTTTTGCAAACAGAATTAAATGTGTTTATGCCCCATGCCTAGGGCAAACTAGAAGATGTGGAAATAAAAGTACTTAAATGTCTGGTCTAGGTTTTGCTTTGCTAAATAATTTTTACATATTATGCTAAGATAGATAAGAAAATTAATCTCTAGTGTTCTGTTGTACAGTAGAGTAACTATACATAATGATAATACATTATATGTGTTTCTTTATTAAACTAGAAGAAAGAAATTTGAATCTTTTCACCTTAAAAAGATGATAATTGTTCAAGGACATAGATAAGTTTACTCCATTTGAATATTACACAATGTATGTCTGCATGGAAACACATGGATACTCGATAAAAATGTATAATTTGCATGTATCAGTTAAAAAGGATAGTATTGGGGGCTGGGGATGTGGCTCAAGCTGTAACATGCTTGCCTGGCATGTGCGTGGCGCTGGGTTTGATCCTCAGCACCACATAAAAATAAAATAAAGATGGTGTGTACACCGAAAAATGAAAAATAATTATTAAAAAATTCTCTCTATATATCATTTAAAAAAGGATAGTATTGGGTTGCTACTGTATGCTGGGAAATGTGCAAGGCTGATGTTGTGGACATGATGGATGTCTTGTAGAAACCTGCCTTACAATGAAAACCAACCTATTTGCAAAAGATTGGAATTATTCCATGAAGATATATATTTTTTTACAAATAATTTCAAGTGAAATGACAGTTGTCAGCTTAGTTATTGTTTTAAAGTGAAAGAAAAAAATTATTATACCTTATTTCCAGAGAAATTCAACAAGAAAGAGATTAGTGATAATCCTTATATTTAAAATTACCTCAAAATAGTGTTAGATGTGAACTTGAAAAAAAATCCCAGCTCCATATATAGACCTGTTTTTCCCCCACTTAATAAAAAATTTAAAACATGGTGAGCTATTTTATTTTTGTTTATTTTTTTCAAAGATAATATGAAAACGACATTGGCACACTGACCATGTGTCAGTTGGTCAATGAGTACAAAATTGCAGTGAGACAGGAGGGATAAATTCTGGTGTTCTACTGCATAATAGGGTGGTTATAGTTAGTCATAATGCAACTTCAGTATAACTAGAAGAGAGGTTTTTGAATGTTCTCACCATAGAGGAAATAATAAATGTTGGCAGTGATGGATATGCTAGTATTCTAATTTGATCTTAAAGTAGAATATATTGAAATACCACATTATACCATATAGATAGGTACAATTATTATTTCTTCATTTAAAAATAGAAATAATGAATAAAGAGCCTAAGAGTTTGGCAACATCTATTGAATACAAAACTTTGTATTCCTGAATAACAATGACATAATAGAACCCAGTTCCACTATGTATTAGCGCTGTACATTGAGAAAATATCTTTGTGTTTACTTTTTGTATCTGTAAGATGGTGACTCTCTCTCTCTCTCTCTTTCTTTCTCTTTTTCTCTGGCTACCAATTCTATTCATATGTACCATTTACAACATTTAAAAACAAATTATATAATAATATTGTTACATAATAAATTAGAAAGCACAAATTTGAATAGCCAGGCAAATGACTTAATTGAGTAACATAGAGCTGGATATGAACATGGTCAGATGAAGTATGGATGGTGGCTTCCTAGAT